TGGGTGAAATAATTTCTCTTGACATCAACAGCCCTGTCTTCTCTGGAAAATAAGCCCTCCTGGGGAAGATGGATGAGGTTCATGTTGGTCTTGGCATCCTAAGAAGATACCTATGAGGGGAGGCTGAGCTGAAAACGTCTGCTGTCACTCAGTCAAAGTACCAGCCCTTGCAGGTGGGGTAGATCTGTAGCCCCTGCTTCTAGCTCTGGCCAGCGTGAACAAATGGGGGCACACAGGAGAAAGGAGAAGAGCATCAGGGTTTCTTCCCTGCAACATTTCAGAAACACCAGGTACAGACTCATGTTCAGGCCTGGAGAATGCTAGATTTGCCAACACAGTCGTGCAGTCCCAGCGGCCGGAGCCTGTCCTTGCAGACGGAGGGTCGGTGTCCGCTGAGGTGCAGGGTTGCTGTGCAGCTGTGCAAAGCCCTCTCCGGACCCGCAAGGCAGCAGTGCCATATCGGACTCATGCACGTGTGACTGCATTGGAGCAAAGCCAGGGGAAATGGTCACAAGGACGTAAATCCAAGAAACTTGCCCTTGTTAGCAGAAAGTTCCTCGCAGGGTAGTTCACCCTATTTTTTTCACAGTTTCTCAGTTGCAAACTTAGCTTTTAAATGGGAATAGAATGAATACAAAATAATGAAAGGCAAGGGGATCCTCTGTAAAGTGTGATCGTTTTAACATTCATCAGTTATCCCTAGAAGTTCCTTTTAAACACATGCAGCTGTTTCACAAAACCAGACACATTTTACTAGTAGCTTAAAAAGGAGTGGAAATTATTCTGGCTGGTCTGCAAACCGCTGCATGTGCACTTGAAGGCTTGCTGCCTGAGTAGTGTGTTGAACAGAGGCAGAGCTGGAGGGTGATGTATGACGTGACATTAAATACAGCAGGAAAGTCTAAAAAATACTACTGCTGGGACTCAGTTGCACTCTCGACCCATGTGGGGCAGGAACTGATAAGTGTAAGTGTGGCTTCCAACCTTTGCTTAAAAGTTAATGTAAGAATATACTAATATAATAGCCTCGTTGGAGTTTGCTAAATGTTGTCGTAATTTTAAATCCAAGTTGCCTCAAAATGCAAGCTATGGATTCCCAGGGGACAATGCCTTTGTGACAACAAAAGAAGCTTTATTTTAAAAACCCTGATGTGTTTGTTTACTTGTTATAATTACTTTTCTAGAAAAAATAAAGCATTGAGCAGTCTGCCCTTAGATGTCTCCCTGCTGAATTTGCACTGTAAATATTGTACTTGGAAAAAAAAGAGGACTCGAGAAGGAAAGAAATGAACTTTCGGCTGACTTACCGTGGTGTAACCTGAATACAATGGGGGGGAAAAAAGAAAAGCGTGGATGTTGATATTAGTTTGTTAAATAATGTGTGTCAGGTAAGCAATATTTGTTTTGTTTTAAAATGTTTTTACCTGAGTTTACCAACCACGTTTCTGTAAGTTGACATCCATAATTGGAACTGGCAAGTGTACCGGTGGGTTCCCATCTGTGCTGAGTTCTGCTCTTGCAACAGGAGGGACAGTCTGCATCCAAACTGGAACAAATAATCATGAGTGCAGTCTGACAAGGTAAAATAGTCACCAACTGCTTAATGTTAAGCTTGGTGCTTAATGCTGGCTGCAGGTCAAGTGAAGTATGTGAAGCGCACAGGTCAGTTCTGAATCAGTTGGACACCAGCTGCTACTGAAGGGGTGTGTTTGCAAGTGTGAACAAATATTTTGGTGTTTCTTTTCCTAAACATAACCACTCATTGCTACTCACTTCACCGGAAAACTGATCAACTGACACCAAGATTTGGCTTGATACAAAGGGCGCTCAGGAAGGAAAGCGTAACTGACTCCTTGAAGCGTGTTGATAAACCTTAGAAAAAAATTTCCCCTGCGTGTGACAGAAACTAATACCTCTGAAACAGCACTGATGCTGTGCAGCCTATGAACCTAGTTTCCCCTGATTCTAGGGGAGAGCAAAAATTTGGTTTAAATTTTTTTCTAAATTCATGCTTAAGTTCTTGCGAAGTGCTTTCCAGACCTGATATCCACACCAAACTTGTCACCTTCACTTCTGATAGCGCTCTCAGACAAAGAACAGCCGCTTTTCGTGTAATTCCCTCAGTAACAGTCTCAGTTACAGTGTTCTATCTCCAATAAAATTCAGAAATGCATTTTGCTCATTAAAACCCCCAAACTTCTACATGCTTATATCTTTTTTTTTTCTTTCCTCAGTTTATGATGTCACTAGAAAGAATAAGGGCAGTTAATGCAAGACATCACAGTCTGTAATTAAGCTAAAGACAGCTTCTTAAATTGAGAAAATAATTTTTGTGCATGCTCAACTAGGTGGCAATTTCGTCTAAAGCCTGAACCTGTGAGTCTAGGATTGTGAATTATTTTCATCTAAATAATGACTTTGCTTAGTTTAAACTTTTAAGGAATTATTTTTTGGGAAGTGCAGCCATATTGTACAGGTTTTCAATTCCTCTTCATCTGTTACCAAGTAAGGCAGTCTGACATTCACGCAGCTTGCTACATGTCTGCATCTTGAAAGATGCTCTCCTATTTCATGTACTGTCAGGATAAATGCTAGACCATTAATAATGTGATTAGACCAGTATATTTCCATAGAGACATTTCAAAGCTTTGTTGTATAAAAGTACTATCATTGGAAATACATTTTAATTTGCTTGTACAATGACTATACTTCGAAAGAAGAGATTGTTCCAAATTCCCCAATCTGTACTGTGAGGGTGTCAGAGAATTGGGCAAAACGTGTGTTGCACCGAGAGCAAACACGCCAGCTTCCGCCCACCATCCCAGCACAGGATCCTGACAAAGGGCTGAAGCTGCCATCCCTAAAGAAAACAGTCCCGAGATTCGCTCTGTCTTAAACAGATTTCTACTCTGTTTTCACATTTACACTTCTACCTCAAAGCTCAGTGAGGTGCATACTTGTAACAGCCTCTGCTTTCATGACTGTGGAGCCCAGGAGCCTGCTGAGCTGTGGGCTTGGGGGAAGGTCAAGTACTGAACTTTCCCTCATCCTCTTCCACTAGAACAAAAATCGTATTTAATTTCTAGCACTAAAAATCGATTTCCCAAGAAGATCTGTGGCACGTGAGCAGCTTCTGTATGATCTATGGTGGGAAGACAGAAAGCAGATGCAATGGTTTTGGTTACACTGGAAGATTTGCATAGCATGGAAGGTTAGAGCTTCTGTGTTTCCCAGAGCCTTTTTCCTTGCCCTTGCAGAGACAATTCAGATTCCAAAAATACATAACAATTTGGCCCACTGGTTTATGGAGAAACAGGGGTCTGGCATCTAACCTCTGGAAAACCAAAGTTAAAAATTCATCGATTCCTGTGGCCAGAGCAATCATATCTGCATTGTTTGAAAGTTCATTTTTGCAACTTTCCATAAAGGCACTTTCAGCTCATTCCAAAATGGACGTAACCTGCAAATAACAGCTTAGAAGACCATTTTTCTACTATATTTTTAGACAGAGAAATTAAAAGAGAGGCCAGTGATTGTGAACGTTTGCACTGATGTGGCAGGAAAGACCATAGCAATGAAGCAGAATCCCATGGTGGCAGTTTTTACATGGATGGCTCTTCAGCCAAGTAGTTGAACCTGACAGTGGTGTTACCACAAAGCAAACAGTGAGGGCATACAGAGATAAATTCACTTGCTTGACCCAATGGTCAATTATAATTGATGCAAAGCTACAAAAGACTTAAAGATGGATTTGATCAAGGCATATTTGCAAACATGTCCTCCCCTCCTGGAAACAGCCCTGAGATACTTACAAATCAGCACATGGGGAGCTGACACCATTGCCAGCCACACGAAGGGGATGAACTCATTGCTGAGGCTTCAAAGGGATACATACAACTTCCCCTTTCAATCCTTAACTGTTCTCTGCAAGGTCACGTTAGAGCAGAGGCTAGGCTGCTTATCAAAATAGAAAAATACCTGTAATGCTAATGGGGTCAAATCGAGATTAAGGCAAAACTTTGCAGTCTGTACAACTCGGGGTCCTTGTACTTAAATTTGCAAACTTCATGTTTTCCTCCTCTCTTTTTTCCCCACTTACTGTACCATTTATCTAACAATTAATACTTTTAGGAATGCAATCCTAAAAATCTATTTATACAAATCTCCTCTCAGTACCACTAGAAACATTAACATCTATACATTTTTTAATTGAGTAGAGAAAAATAGCTGTTAGTTTTGATAAAATAAATTACCATTTCAAAACATGTAAATACTTCAGCTAAATAAAGTTCTGGGAATCAGGAATCTATTATCAACTTTATTTTTAGCTTTGCCTGACTTTGAGTTTCATGTCATTTGGGAAAAAAACAGAAGTTCCTCTCCCTCCCATATACTCAGTGTTACACTTTTCAATTTATAGCAACTGCAGATGGAAAAGACTTACCCTCATTTGTTTGTTGGCATGAAGATAAACATAGTCCTAATTTCCGGAGAGTTAAAAACAACCATTCCTCTAAAGCACTTCAATTTTCTATTGAAATTTATTTTCCCATACTTATCCGAAAGTAGCAGCTTCTTCTTCTTAAAGACGAATAATTAAAATGCTTAGTTTGAACACTTGCAAAATGCCACTCAGAATAAAACCGAAAAATTTTATTGAAAAAACACAGGAAAGACACACAAAGACATAACATAATAAGGAAAGGGTGGAAATGGTAAGTTAACAGACACATTTTTGTAAAGTAAAACCAATATTTTTAGGCCAAATTCACAGGCTTCACTATACATATACAGTTTTCCTTCTCTCAGCACTGCAGAAAGAGAGCCTTTGCTAACGTTTTTTTCATTGACAGTCAGTATGACCCCATCATCCTGTCTCATGGATAGCTCTAACAAGCTGAAATGGTCCCACTGTGCATTCTGGGGAAATTTATGCAAAGAAGAATTTCCTAAATTAACTCTTACAGAACTTTACATGAGAAATTAGCATAGTAAGGATATCATCTGTTTATACTTTGCAAAACTAGGGGCTCTGCGATGCTCATGCCAGCCATTCTTCCTGGTTCTGGAATTCCATCTGAAAATGAAATACAGAGAGAAATATTCTCACACATCTGGAGATCCAAAGGTATAAGTGTTATTTTCTACTATTATTAGCTTTGATACAGAATATCATCATAGGAAATTTGGGCAATTTTACAAATATGTTTTTCCATGCAACTGTATGAGGTAAGAGCTTTGCATTACTAAAGACTAGATTTCGGACAACTTCAACTCGGCTATAGTGAATGAACTCACAGAAACATCAGATTCCACACGTTTTATCAGGATTCCCAGTCTCTATACCAGTTTAATGGAATATTCACTCAACTAAATAAGGAAAATAATTTTTAATATGAGAAGCAAGTTAGACAAAAAGCAAGTTAGATGTTAAAGTATGAGACTTGGAGGGTTGAGTTTATGAATGGACTTGATTACCTCAATATGCAGCCTAATTAAAATAGCTAGATAATTAGTATTTTGAACCCACTGACTTTAGGTGTCCACTGACATATTCCACAAACACATGCAGAAAGTAATTTCAGACTACAGTAACTTAAAGGTTAAAAGCCTTAAAACTGTTAGATTTTTCTTTAGTTCAAAAAGCAATGTGTTATCACGTCTTATGATTAATCCTGAGTTTTGTAACTAACTCTAAACAATTAAAGCCCCGTGTAAAATTGTATTGGAGTCAACAGGGCAAGGTGACCTGGCACAAAGTCAATTTCAGAACTGAGGTACAAAGATATACTTTAAAAACAGTTATTTCTGTACACCGAGTATGCTTTTTAAAATGCAAAAATTTCTGGTAGGAATAATTATATCCTAACAAAGGATCATTTAAGCAGTTTTGGTATTGAAATTTTATTTCTTCAGCCCCCTCTTCTGGCAGAAGGGAAACAACATTGTCTCAATGAATTAACTGTTAAGAAAAGCTGTTTAGTACTTCTGCCACACTTCTTAGACATAATATCTCAGGCATCCTATTTTTCAAAATGTTGGATTCAGTAGAAATAGTTGACAGTACTAACTCAATGGTACTAAATTCTCACAGTAGAAAGTGAAGTAATATGCCAAGCAGACTCTTTGAAGGAAAAAACTGAACCAACGATCCCTGTCATTCTGTAGCTTAGGCATATGAATTATAACCAGTCAAAAAGCAGACCAGAAAGGGAAAACAAGATTTAGCAGTGTTCTGCTATAGAGCAGTGAACTTGGAGGTTAAGCTTCTGCAGTCAGTGGGATGTGAATTATGTCCTCAGGAAAGTTTTATGCCCATATACAAAATTGACAGCTAAAGAGTTACAAACTTTCTATAGAAAGTAGGTAAGTACCAGATGAGAAACAAAGAGATACACCCACTATTTAACATGTTTTACTGAGAATTTAGGTTAAATTCTTGTATTAAATTGCCAGCATAATAAGACTGTCTCTGACTGACCCATTCCAGATTTGTAATAGACTAAGGGAGTACAGTTTGGCTAGTTTAACTTTTAGGAATATGGTAAAGCAATTTGGTGGGTGACCTTTCTGACACTGAGAACTGGGATATTAGTATTTTCTCGTCTTTACTAGTAACTGCAGAGCAGCAAAAATACAATGGCACAGCTGTCCAATTTTTCAGTTTTTAACAGTCCAAAAGCCTTAAGAGAATTAAGATGAACAATAAGGTTTTTTTCTCCTTCCCTCTAGTAATAACAAGTAGCTACAACTACCACAAGGTAACGGGAGCTTCACAGTACCTTGCACAGTTGAGAAATTACATAAATTTGGCTGTCTGCAATTTTTAAAAATGTCTGCTTCGTAAATAAAATACATTCCTATATGAGAGAGAAAGTTCTACTACTGACACATTTGAAGGCCAGTCAAGCACTTCTGAGGGCAATCAGATTTCTATGCCGTACATGCTGTCCCATTAGCATACTAGCAGAGAGAAGCAGGCCTACGAGTTGGTGTAAGTTGGTCACTTATTTAAACAAAGGCACATATACAGGTTGTTTTAGAAATCACAGGTGGGTCTTTCTTGAGTTGGATTATAGTAGGAACTTTCTTAAATGAATACATGAGCAACAGGTATGGGCAGGTCACACAGCTTAGTGGTATTTTTGAGGTATAAACACTGTTCTGCTGAAGAATTTTTCATACAAAAGAAGTACCAGCTGCAAGCATTCCTTGCACAGAGAAGGAGGTACATTGTGTCTGTCTGCATGTTTATGCTGCTATAACCACGTGTATCATACAGAAAATCTAGTCACAAATATAACTTCTGCAAAAATGACCTGATACCCACACCCACCTTTTTGATTTCTCTCAGCAGGTAGTTTGCCAAGGTTCTGCTTTGGATATTTCAGCAAAGACACTTTTGGATGGGTATTCTGCGTACTTTCTTCTCTACCACCATGTAAGAAATGAGAGATAATTCCGTACAAAAGCGGTCTGCTTAAGAGAGGAACAACAGGAGCAGTCTACCAAGTCTAAGAAATACTAAGCATTCCAACCCTTAACATTCTACAATTCTGTGATTTAAAAAAAAATCACCCTTTCCTGAGAACTTCTGAGACCTTAATATTTACTTCTAGAATATGTACAGATGTCTTTAGAGTAATTATTTAAAATACCTTATGCCAAGCGTCATTATAGAAATAAGCACAGCCCTAAGCCCACCCTGAACACCAACATTCTCCTAAAAAGCTCGCACTAAGAGACACTCTCTACTAAGCTCCAGATCCCCTGTGGGTGAAGAACTGGAGCATGCTTAGCACAAGAACATGGATCCACATTCTCACTCATGCAGTGTGAAGGATCAGACTCTGGCAGGCTGCACATCCCAAACTTGATTCTTCCTAAGCACCTGACAGATTCTGACAGCATAAGCTACAGAGAACACTGAACGTGTTTAAATGTGCTTCAGTATCCTAGCTCATTAATGTCATTGTATCAGAGCACTGTGAATTTGTATCTAATCTCAGAGTACAATAGTCTTTTTATTGCTCTAGAAAGCAACTCACTGATATGAAAAGGGTGTATCTGTTTTCTGCTTCTGACTGTAGGGAGGACTTTACTGGTAAGAGACTTGCATTCTGGTGCACAAGTACACTATCTGGAGAATGCCACAGAGTTGGCAGAATTTAATGTTAGTTTTGAGTATGTTTGAAAATGGCCCCATGTCTGACATTGTGAGTTTGAATCCAGCATGTCAGAGCAGCCCTGTGGTCCAGTCACATTTCAGTTGGTGAGAACATTTATATGTGATTTATAGTAACACTACAGAGAAAAATATATGCCAAACAGAATATACTGTGCATTCCAACATCACTCCTTACACTGATTTTCCATTTGCATCTTCAACTATGTTCAGCTCTTTGGCAAGAAACTGTCTATCCAAGGGCACTTCCGGCTGGCCAGATTCTGGAAAAGAGATTTCCCCCAAATTCTTAAGACTGTTAAGAAAAACATCACCAATTAACTTTTAAAGACCGATCAGGATACTTCAAAAGAGAATGAGAGCACATACCTCCCTTTTAGACTATTAGTATCTAATGGTATATTGTAATTCCAGGGAACTCACTTAAACATTAGTGCTTCATACTCATATAATTTACAATAGTGTATTACAAGTTTTATCTTTACTCTAAAGGAATCTAAGAAAAATATTAAAGAAGTCTGACAAAATATTCCATACATTAACTACTATACAGACTGTCTCCATTCCCTCTTCTCAAGATGAACCTTTGTGCCTGTAATTTTAATAGAGTGAAATATATCAAACTATTAAATAGCAAATGTAATTACTGTATCTAAGCATAACTACAGAATTTAAAATTTCAAATACAAGTTAGCAATAGCTGCAAAAATAATTAAGTGCTGCACCATATAAGTTACTGCTACCATTTAGATGTTGTATTCAAATACTCAAATATTGGTATTTTAGCACAGCCAGTAATACTTCACTGCAGTTGTTAAAAAATATGGACCTTCTTCATATTCTTTTTTTGTTATTAAATCCGAAGACAACTAACCATGACGCAGTCTATATGCACGAATTGCCAGAATTGCTATAATTCAGACTACCAACTGCTTTATCTACATATTATTTTAGTTAAAATTATTCATCAAAGAAATTTTGTTCATTTATAGGATTTCTATTTTTTTTTTACCCAAATGCCAATGAGGAAAATAAATGTGATATGTGCTTTAAAAATAGCCATTTTCCAAAACAAAAACAGATATTTCAAGAGAGGTATTTTGATTTTGCAGGCTGCTAGCAAATGTTCTTGCTCTTTCATCAACTGCTCTGTCACAGCATTTACGTCAAGGATAAGGAGCAAAGTGTACATTTTCAAGAAAACTAATGGCTTAATGCTGCAAGTAAAGCTGTCGAGAGAGTGTTCATATCTTATTTATTTCCAAAGGAAGACAAGATTGTGCAGCTTGGTCTCACTTATTCATTTCATAGTATCAGTGGAATTAGTCAACCAAACAGTAACTGTCCACTAACACAGTGATGCCAAAAAAAAAATTCAGCCCAAATACCTGCAGTTAAAACAGATGATGTGTATTTGTATTTGTTGTATTCCAGGTATTCACGAATTAGTTCATTGATTAAGAGATTTTCATGAGACAGTGGTGGCCGTGGTTCACTTCGGTCCTCCAGAGCATTAAAAACTTCAGCCCGGATCCTTGCTTTGATTTCTCCGAGAGCACCTCTTTTTTCCAGCGTGTCCTTTAAAACTATTACCATAAAAAGATCTGATGATATAAAGCCAAATGTATTCAAGCAGCATTCATCATCCGCAATATAAACATAATTTCGGCATACTGACAGTGAAATAAAGACAAGATATCTGCGCCTGTGCATATGCCAGTAGCAGTAGGTGACAACAGCAAGAACGTTACACTTAAAAATTAAGCCTTCAAAGAAGTCACAATTTTTTTTCAGTAGTAAACATACGTTCTAGCAATTTCCGAAGAAGGATGTTACTGGACCGAGATGCTTTTAACGAGTGAAAACCAGACCACGACGAATTACAAAGGGCGGAGTGCTTGCGGGGAGGCTCGGGGCCGCCCGCCGGGTGCATGAGGGACACAGTCCGAAAGCCCGCCCCTTCGGTGCTC